CTCAAAGGCTGCTTGTGTGTAAGGCACCTTAAACCACGAGTGGCTCCGGCCGGGATCTGCTGCATGGGGAGCTCTGAGCTCTCACGTCCTCCTCTGGCCAGTGGGCTCCTTGGGGGTGTCCGGGACGGCGAGGGGCCAGCTGGTCAGTGCTGGCCACCTCTAGGCTGCCCAGGGCCCGGGCCACTCTGATGTGGCTCCATCACCCTGGCGTCTCGGAAGAGGAGCAGCCCTCAGGGAAAGCCCTCCCATTTATTGTGATCTATTGTGATTCTCCCTGAGCCACTCCGCTGTCAGGACTGGACGTGTGTCTGGAGGGCTGTGGGTTCAAACCCCCGATGAGACACCGTTGGCTCCGTGAGAGGAATAAAGCTCCTAAGCTATACTGGGTGCCAATGTCAGTCCCTTCCGATAACATAAATCAGTAATAATTCATCACAGTAAAAGTACCACAGGAACAGATGCTCCAAGACCCTGTTCTTACTCTTCTGGAGTCATCAGATTTTGCATGCTTGCTTTGTAGAGGTTTGTCATACCTTTTGAGGGTAGCCCAGCAGCATAATACAATTCTTGGTCCAGAGTTTGGACATCCTGACCTACAATCAACAATAAAATCTTCCTTTAATGAAATGTAACAAGGAACAATAACTGGGATGTCATGGTATCTCTGGAAACCTGAGATAAAACATACAGTACATCTGCTGCTTCTCACTGTGTCCCTTCGTTTTAATGTGAGATTTCTATAAGCATCATGTACACAAGAATGTTTCAGAAACCTTTGTGACTTGTTTATGTGTGTGGGCTGGTGAATGGAAAGAAAAAATAGCAAAAAGTAAGTTGCAAAAAACATATTTTTAAAAAGGAACAAGTAACAGGTTTATTCCATGCTGAAAAAAAGAAGAAAGAGAACACAACGTTTCGGCCGAAACATTGTGTTTTCTCTCTTCTTTAACAACCTGTTACTTGTTCCTTTGTAGCCTACGCATGCTGACGCAGCTCCCCACCTGAACTACTGTATTTTTACAATGACAAGCACATTAATGATGATTTTGTGCTTACAATGATCAGATTTCATACACATATGTTCTGGTCCTGTGTTTTAATTTTTCACCTGTTACATACTTCCCAACAGTCTCCATGCCCTTCATGGTTTTAGCTTAAGTCTCACATTTAAGTAAAACATCTTCAATGAGAAGGAACACCAACTGACTTCCATGCCAATGAATAGAAATAAAAGCACTCTGGCTCACTGGCAGGTGAGGACCCAGGGAATGACACTGGTCTCCACTGAGCAGAAGCCGAAGCCTTCAGAGAAACACCCTGCCTAACGGACCACAGGCAGCAGCTCCCTGCTTGGACCAGCCCAGAGACGCTCCTGGGCCGCAGGACGGCCAGATCGTCAGATTGCACGTCGCCTGTCCTGTCCCCAGAGCAGACCGTGCCTCATGACAGTTTACAGCGGGAAATTTCGCACGTCTCATCGTTTTGAAACATTTCTACCACATTGCCTGGCGGCCTCATACTGCTAGGCCACAGTTCTCCGGCCTGCACCCTGCAGGAGTCTCCAGGTCCCTCCTCCCCACCCAGGCACCTCAGCTGCACTCACCTGCTGGCCCCAGCATGGCTTCTCCTGTCGCAGTGTCATTGGCAGCTACTGTAGGTGAGAGACAGCACAGACAGGAGGGCACCGAGTCAGTGCAGCTGGTGACGCGTACAAGCGACTGCGACAGTGTCTGAACAGAGCTGGATGGGTGTCAGCTACTACTCGGTGATAATTACCAGGGAGTAAAGCCACGAGAAACCACTGGACATGCGAATAGGATTGACACAGCTGTCTCCTGGCCTGGCAGTGCCACACACTTACACTGAGGTGCGGTGCTATTCTGGGGGTCCACTTGCTCCTGGCCATCATTCAGACCTCTCCACCGGGCCAGCGCCGAGGTCAAAACTGCACAGTGAAAAGCAAAGGAAAGCAAAATGAGCACACGCACAAGCAGATGAGTACACCACGAAGGCACGGAGGAGAGACTGGGATCCCCCCAGCTGCAGGTGGCGGTAGCGCAGGCGAGCTCAGAGCGGACCCGCTGTCCGACAGGGAGGATGGGGGCTCACTCACGCTTGGCCACAGCTCCCTTCAGATCAGCCATCAGGACTGCGGGCTTCAGGTCGGGCCCTGGAGGACAACAATAATGAAGAAGACACCGGCTAAAACGATCTGTGCCATATGCCTCACATTGTTGGTAACAATAATCATAACAACAACAATAATAATAATAATAATAACAATAATAATAACAATAATGTCACTGTTAACAGTTACAGGGAAGCCAGCTATCAAACCCATGTCTTTAAGTTCATGTGGGGATAATCACAGTTTGTCGGAAGGTTCTCCTCTATTGCCTGGTCCAGGGCTTCGTCTTCGGGGTTCGCTCCTGGGGAGACAGTGCACACATTAACGGGGTGCCTCGTTATTCAGGACACTTCAAGGCCAAGACCTCTCGTCCCTGTCCCTCCCTCCGCAAGCCCG